AAAAAAAAAAAAAAAAAAAAAAAAAAAAAAAAAAGAAAAAAGAAAACAAAAGAAAAAAAAACAAAAATAAAAATAAAAAAGAAGTAACTGATGTTGCTGGATAAGCCAGCATTACACCCATCAGTACAATCTATATATATATTTTTTAAGTGTTGCAAACTCCCTTGCATATCACAGTGCCTATACCTGTTTTTGCCTCTTTCTGTTGTCTTTTTTTTTTCAAAGATTTTGTTTTTCAGTCTGTGAACAGCATCCTCCAGGATTTACAAAAACAAAGAGGAGGCCGGGCGCGGTAGCTCAAGCCTGTAATCCCAGCACTTTGGGAGGCCGAGGCGGGTGGATCACGAGGTCAAGAGATCGAGACCATCCTGGTCAACATGGTGAAACCTCGTCTCTACTAAAAATACAAAAAATTAGCTGGGTATGGTGGTGCGTGCCTGTAATCCCAGCTACTCAGGAGGCTGAGGCAGGAGAATTGCCTGAACCAGGAGGCGGAGGTTGCGGTGAGCCGAGATCGCACCATTGCACTCCAGCCTGGGTAACATGAGTGAAACTCCGTCTCCAAAAAAAAAAAAAAAAAACAAAAAAAAAACAAAAAAAAAAAAAACAAAGAGGAAGTCTAAATCCAAGACAACTCACAGCAACACCCAAGATTTTTACTTTATTCAGTGGCTTAAACCTTTATAAAGGTTTTGAGAAATGAAAAAGTTGTAGGCATTCAAAATCATTGCACATTAGTTGCTGTAATTTGTATTTTAATATTTTGTTTAGTAGTGATCTTTGCTTTCAGATGGGGTAATTTTTTAAATGGACTAAAAATACCTGCTAACATTAATGATCTTTGCTTTTAGATGGAGTCATTTTTGAAATGGACTAAAAATACCTGCTAAATATTGGTGACAAAATGTACAGTTACAACTGACTTAAATGATATAAACAGAAATGATTTACGTAAACTAGTGAAGCTTACACCTAAAGACCTTTATTTGCATAGGCCTCTAAGGCCCTCAAGCTAATTTTTTTTTTTTTTTTTTTTGAGATGGAGTTTTGCTCTTGTTGCCTAGGCTGGAGTGCAATGGCTCGATCTCTGCCCACTGCAACCTCCACCTCCCAGGTACAAGCGATTCCCCTGCCTCAGCCTCTCAAGTAGCTGGGATTACAGGTGTGCACCACCACACCCCGCTAATTTTGTATTTTTAGAAGACATTGGGTTTCACCCAATGTGAAAGTTGGTCAGGCTGGTCTTGAACTCTTGACCTCAAGTGATCCACCCGCCTCGGCCTCCCAAAGTGCTGGGATTACAGGCGTGAGCCACCACACCTGCCACCACCTGCCACCCCTAGTAATTTTGTACTCATAATTCTATATTTTTTTGTAAACAAGGGCCTTCAAATTGTGGAGAAGAAAGTTCTAAATTGTAAGTCAAAAGAAAAAAGATGATTTATCACATTTTATTCCTATTCATTTTATGAGTTATAATAGTTTAATTAGATTTAGGGGTGATCTGAACATACCTTGCAAACTTTGGTTTAAAAATTTTTAACTGCTAAATTATTTAATAGCTTTTTTTTTGAGGGGGGGTGGTGGACAGTGTCTCATTCTGTCACCCAGGCTGGAAGGCAATGGAATTATCTTGGCTCAGCCTCCCAGGTTCAAGCAATTCTGTGTCTCAGCCTTCCAAGTAGCTGGGATTATATAGTTGGGTGCCACCACACCTGGCTAATTTTTCCATTTTTAGTAGAGACTGCGTTTTGCCATGTTGGCCAGGCTGGTCTTGAACTGGCCTCAACTGAAATGCCTGCCTCAGCCTCCCAAAGTGCTGGGATTACAGGCGTGAGCCACAGCCCCCAGCCCCCTAATAGTTCTTTACAGAAGTTATATACTTCCATATTTTACTTATATTGCAGTTCTCAGTCTTCGCTGCTTATTTTTTAATTCTCCATCAAACCCCAAACCAATTAAATCAGAATCTATGGAGGTGGAACCCAGCTGTCAGTATTAAAAAAAAAAAAAAAACTCCCTAGATGCCAGGTGTGGTAGCTCACACTTGTAATCCCAGCACTTTGGGAGGCCGAGGAGGCTGACTCATGAGGTCAGGAGTTCGAGACAGCCTGACCAACATGGTGAAACCCCGTCTCTACTAAAAATGCAAAAATTAGGCTGGTGGCACGCGCCTGTTGTCCCAGCTACTCAGGAGGCTGAGGTAGGAGAATCGCTTGAGCCAAGGAGGCGGAGGTTGCAGTGAGCTGAGATTGCGCCACTGCACTCCAGCCTAGGTGACAGAGGGAGATTCTGTCTCCAAAAAAAACCCAACTCCTCCTTACGTTACTAAAACATTGAGAACCAACCAGTACAGTATTCTAGCCAGTGTGGCAATTTTTTACCCTTTTCCGCAATCTTCTTAACTTTCTCCATTCCCCTTTGCCATCACCCCCAATTTTCATCATTTTGCTGTCAGGTAAAATACAGTTCTTTAGCCACCTCAATGGTGGCTACGTTTATATGAGGCCATAGGGACAATAATTTTGATTGAAATTTCTGAGGAGCTGGTGTGATTCAATATATTGGTTGATTCCATTATTTGACCTAGTTGACTGGTATTGTTAGCACCACCAGTCTTGAGAACAGGTACTATTATATCTTATGTTGAAAATGTAAAATTCGATGTATTTAAGTCAGGACATATCCTTATCGTTTTCTAGTTTAAGCTTAATATCAATCTTTGGAAAGCATTTTTTTCTGTCACGCATTCTTCTCTTCATATGATCATGTATTTCAACAGATAAATGGAAAACTAGCTTCAGCTAATAAGAACCTATAATTATATTTACCTGTAGGGCCATATTTTATTTTCTACTCACTTACATATGTCAAGATTTAAACTCCTGTGATTACTGAATACCTGAAGACAGGCAGTAGTCTAGTCTCAAGGGTCAGAAAATTAGGTTCTATTCCTAATGCTGGCATTAATCAGCATTGAAGCTCTACATCATTTCACTCATCTTTGACTCACTTTCCTTAAAGTAAAACAAGGGGATGAGAATCATTCCATGTTCTGACTTAAACAGAAATGCTATGATTAATTTTCACTCTTCACAATTTTTCATTCTGTTACGTCAAAGTCAGTCATCCTAAAACTCATTTTAAAACTGTGCTTAGAAATCAGAGATCGTAAATCTCTTATTTTTTTCCTCTGGTTATGTAATTCATGTTACACTAAATCTTGCTTTAACTCTTTGATATTGAAATCTATTTTTTTTTTTAAAGTCCCATTTAGCTAGAACATTAGATGTTTCCTCTATATTTTATCAATCACACATGTAAAGATAACCTATCAGATATTAATAAAAGCAGACAAAAAAAACCCTCAGTATACTCTTCCCTCCATACCCAAAGTATAGAACATGAGCATTTCCAATGCAAAAGTGCACTTCTAAACAGTAAGAGCATACTGGTTTTATTTGGCCCAAAATTATTAATATTGCAGCTTCATCACTGTGAAGCTCAACATCTTCCCTCATATTTGCACTCTACTCTTCACAAGACTTGTCTAGTCTTTAGTTTGATATGCTTTTTTTTAAAGCTTGTTGCTTTCTTGGATTTGTAGAATGTCTGTTTTAAATAACTTTAAATTTTTGCTGAAAACTTGTCATTCTGTTTCAGGAGAGCATAGAATGGGGGTTCAGCACCTCAGCAATGCTCTTTTAGTGTGCAGACAACCACAGGAACTTCTGAAGGTTTTCAAACACACACTCCCTCCCAAGGTATTTGAGATGCTGTTGCACAAAATTCCCCTTGTTTGCCAGGTGAGCAAATATTTAATTATCTTTGTGAAGTGTAAACAGTAAATAGCTATGTTATGCTTGAATATCAAACTATGTGTGTGAATTGCCCAAAATCTTAAATAAGTGAAATCTCTGAATTTTGGCTGCTTTAAGAGAAGCAAGCCTATTCTTTCATGTTCCTTTGACTATAATTGCGTATTTTGTTGAGTATTATCCGCATTTCAACACTTCAATTTTAAAGCAGAACAATACTTCTGCTTCCATTAACACACAAAACAGAAATCACTTTGGCAAATTTAAACATACAGGCTAACTAGTGTTTCCTTAAATATAGGTTTAAAATGGTATCAAATGAAATCTATTCATAAGCCGGTTGATTAGTAAGTATTAGTCCACTTACATTTTACTAAACTGCTTGGTTTACTTTTGCATCACCTAGAATTTCCTGCAGATGCTTGGATTTGTTTCAGGATTCATTAGCCATAAGACATTAACTTTGGTTTACTTATTATCATTGACAAGCCTTAAAATCGTTTATGTATGACTGTCAGCTTCTGCACAAAACACAAACATGAACTCCATTACAGTGTAACAGTCAACTCTTAAATATTACCAAATTAGGGCAGATGGGATGGTTTCCTGAAGATATATGAAAATGTAGGTAAAATAAGAATATGAAATGCCTACCCTGACACAAGAAGGGAGGCAAGAAAAGGATTGTGTATAGAAATGATTAGCAAGTAACTATTTTATGTATTTACCAGCAATCTGAAGCAGACATGAATGAACAGAAATGCTGGGAGGATGAGCCTGATTGAAAAACATTTCAACATTTCTACAGTCCAATGAGAATATTATATATAAACAACTGCTCAGTGATATTTCCATTTATTTTACTTTTAGTAATAAAAATTTTTCTATCTCATACATGATTGAACACATAATTTGCTTTAAAATTCACAGTCACAATTGAAGAAACAATGGTTTATTTTTCTAATCAAGTGACCAAGGTGCTGAATCAAAAGGCCTCAACAAATGTTGCATCTTATTTCATTGAACAATAAGACCTTCTATTTTGATTATTCTTGGTAAATAGCAATTTTGTTTCTCCAGTGGTTTCCATATGCCAAACAGTCATGACAGATGGTTTAACATGGTGGTTACTGCTTTCAAGGGATTCTATCAGAGGAATCCTCATTTTCAGTAAAGCAGCTATTGGCAATCTTTCATCAAAGGTCCATCCATCAGGACTTCTCTATCGTGGTTGGCCAAGGAGTCCTGCTTTGGCTGCCAGGGCTTCATTCTGCTGAATATGATATTCCTGAAATCTCATGGATATTCTTTGTGTCATTTTTAAATATTTCTGTAAGCAATGTTCTGAACAGGTGGTCTAGGAATGAAAAGGGAAGATCCAAGAGGCAACACAAAAATATGAATTTTTTTAAATGCATGAATTCTGAAAGAACCAGTGGGTAGTTTGCTTTTCTTTGAATATATCTGAGAATTAAATAGTATTAATTGGCAGCAACTGACCATAGCTTTCAACTGGCACTTTCATCCACTGACAAGCATTAATATATATTGAATGCCCACCAGTTTGTAGTCACTAAGAGCAATGCTAAGTCTATGCTTTCAAGAAGCTTCTGGACTAGATTTTCTGCAGATGTATTAAGTCAAAGCCCAGTAAGTTTTTTCCTTTTTAATGAGAAACAACATTCTTAATTCTCAACCTGGCCAGGCGTGGTGGCTCAAGCCTGTAATCCCAGCACTTTGGGAGGCCGAGGCGGGTGGATCACGAGGTCAAGAGATCGAGACCATCCTGGTCAACATGGTGAAACCCCGTCTCTACCAAAAATACAAAAAAAAATTAGCTGGGCATGGTGGCGCGTGCCTGTAGTCCCAGCTACTCAGGAGGCTGAGGCAGGAGAATTGCCTGAACCCAGGAAGCGGAGGTTGCGGTGAGCCGAGATCGCGCCATTGCACTCCAGCCTGGGTAACATGAGTGAAACTCCGTCTCAAAAAAAAAAAAAAAAAAAAAATTCTCAACCTTTTACTTTTTATGTATTTATTTTTTGAGACAGGTTCTCTCTCTGTTGCCCAGGGTAGAATGCAGTGGTTCACTGTGGCCTCAACCTCCTGGGCTTAAGTGATCTTCCTACTTCAGCTCCTGGAGTAGCTAAGACTACAGGCACACACTACCATGCGTGGCTAATTTTTAATTTTATTTTTTAGTAGAGATGAGGTCTCACTATGTTGCCCAGGCTGGTGCTTTTCTTTTTTTTTTCTTTTTTTTTTTTTTTTTTGTCAGAGTCTTGTTCTGTCGCCCAGGCTAGAGTGCAGTAGTGTAATCACAGCTCACTGCCACCTCTGCATCCTGGGCTCAGGTGACCCTGTCACCTCAGCTCCCGACTAGCTGGGATCACAGGCACGTGCCAGCATGTCCAGCTATTTTTATTTATTCTAAAGACAGGGTTTCACCATGTTGCTGAGGCTGGTTTCGAACTCCTGGGCTCAAGTGATCCACCTGTTTTGGGTTTCCAAAGTGCTGGGAGTTCAAAGTTACACTGAGCTATGATTATGCCATTGCACTCCAGCCTGGGTGACAGAACAAGACCTCATCTTAAAAAAACAAGTTAAGACTTCTAATTGGATTGGGTTTTCAGTATGAGCCACCAAATTCAAGCTTTGTTTTTTCCAAAGCCAACCAGAATTCCCAGGGCCATAAAGAAAGCTGTGCCAAGTTTCTCTTGGTTGGCCATCTTGACTGAAAGCTAATTAGTAAGAATCTTTGCTGTGGAACAATATCTCACCAACTGCAGGCATCTTCTCTAAAATGATCTGACTTGGCACAGTGTAACTGTCATATTAAACTTGGCGCTGTTAAACTCAATGCCATGGGTCGGTGACTGCTTCAGTTCTTCCAAGCAATGAAACATAAAAGATAGTCTAAATTCTTGTAATAAGTAGGAACAAGTGAAATGCTTAGGGGGATCCTACTTACAGTGTTTATGACAAGGTTGGAGAATTTTAGTGAGTAACAATTTCCATACCTCTTCAGGTTTTACTTCTCTTGTTGTGAAGTCTTTAACACAGTCCAAAAAGCAGGTCTCTGTAAGTTTATTGTAGGTCCCCAGAAATTCCTTAAACTACAAACAAACCAGAATGTTCTTTAATACATGGTTTTTAAAACAAAGATTTGAAACTTAAATTACTAGTATTTTATATTTAGACAAAATATATGGTAACACTTGAAATCATAGTTATTATACTAACTTAAATGGGTACAATATGATCTACAACATAGTCTTATTTTCTAGTTGAATATTTAATTTTTCCTTATCAGTCAAATTAAAAATACATATGCTTTATATCATTTACTATCCATTTTGGAAATGAAATAGAAATAATTGTTTTATGAAACCACTGGCTGACATTTTTTTTTTTTTTTTTTTTTTGAGATGGAGTCTTGCTCTGTTGCCCAGGCTGGAGTGCGGTGGTGTGATATTAGCACACTGCAGCCTCTGCCTCCTGGGTCAAATGATTCTCCTGCGTCAACCTCCCAGGTAGCTGGGACTTTCAGGTGTCTGCCACCACGCCTGGCTAATTTTTGTATTTTTATGAGACAGGGCTTCACCATGTTGGCCAGGCTGGTCTCGAACTCCTGACCTCAAGTGATCCACCCATCTGGGCCTCCCAAAGTGCTGAGATTACAGGTCTGAGCCACTGCACCCAGCCGACATGGTGGCATTAGTAGCACCTTACATTTTTTTGCAGTATCTTTCCCCCCTTAATGAGAATACCTTACCTGCTTTATCTGATCAGATTCTGGTATTTGTGCAGCCATATTCTTCTGGTACCTTTATTTAGTCACCTAATTTAAAAATTAAAAAAAAAAGTTTGTCAATCTATAAACAAATGTTTTTAGTCTAACTGAAGAGTTCGGGAATCACTGCTTGTATTTTGTAAATCTGTGTATCTAATTGTATGCCACCCCCCAATTTCTCAGATCATTAATGACCATAGAATCTTACAGCTGAGAATCAGATTTTCTAATGCTAGTTTGGGACTCAAAGGCCCTATCTAAATCTCTGCTACTTTGCTAAGCTACTTGTTTAAAGCCCCATTACTAGGTGGGTTATAAAGGAAACCAAGAAGGTGTGAGGTTTGGGCTTAAAAAAAAAATAGAAAAATCTGGGTGTGGTGACTCCCAACTGTAATCCCAGCACTTTGGGAGGTCAAGGCAGGTGGATCACTTTAAGTCAGGACTTCAAAACCAACTTGGCCAATATAGTGAAACCCTATTTCTACTAAAAATACAAAAATTAGCCTGATGTGGTGGTGCATGCCTGTGGTCCCAGCTACTTGGGAAGCTGAGGAAGGAAAATCGCTTGAACCTGGGATGTCGAGGTTACAGTGAGCAGAGATCATGCCATTGCACTGGAGCCTGGGTGACAAAGCAAGACTTCATCTCAAAATAATAATAATAATAACAACAAAAAAAAGGAAACAAAGAGATTTTTTGCTGTTTTCCTAAAATTACTTAACTATTCCATTAGTCACCAATTTGTTGGTTTAAAATTTTTTACTATTATACTTAATCCAATGTATCAAAAATTTTAACTTTTCAACATGCAACTAACATAAAAGTAAGACATTTTACATTCCTTTTCTTGTAGTAAGTCTTTGATTTTGGTGGGCATTTAACACTTATAAACCATATCTCAATTTAAATGCTAAATTTTCTTCAGAAATATTTGGCCTATATTTAGATTTAATAAAATCTACAGTTGAAGAAGTAGATTCACATATCTGGGCTGCTCCAAATGCACTTAGTAATTTTAAGTGCACTTGGAGCAGCTCAGATATGTCAATCTACTTTTTCTTTGACCCTTGCTACAATGATCCTTTTGCATTGTAAACACAAAGGTTCTATTAATAGTTAACAAACACCATTTGCTTAGAAATCAACAACCCTGGCCGGGCATGATGGCTCAGACCTATAATACCAATACTTTGGGAGGCCAAGGTGGGCAGATCACCTGAGGTCGGGAGTTCGAGACCAGCCTGACCAACATGGAGAAACCCCATCTCTACTAAAAGTATAAAATTAGCGGGGCGTGGTGGCATATGCCTGTAATCCCAGCTACTTGGGAGGCTGAGGCAGGAGAATCACTTGAACCCAGGAGGTGGAGGTTGCAGTGTGCCGAGATTACCCCATTGCACTCCAGCCTGGGCAAGAAGGAAATTTTGTCTAAAACAAACAAACAAACAAAAAAAACCCCAGAAATCTACAACCCTTATGAAAGGTATTCAGAGTTTTCAAAGTTACAGGAGTGTTACATTCTACTACACATTCTGTAGTTTGGAAAGGGCAATCACAGAGACTAATCAGAAATTTCTGAATATATGATAATTATAATCTAACTTGGGGGCAACAGGGAAGGGAAGACAAGTAAGTAAAAAAGCCTTTCTGAATTACTGAGATTTTCACATATCCTAAACGTAGGACTTAGGTTCAGTTAATCTAGATGTAAAAACGTGTATCACGTTATTTATTTACTGTATCCTAGTGAGTTCTAAAAAAGTTGAGCATCTCATATAAAAGATTTGTATAAAATAAAGCTGTTTAAAATAGAAATTAAACAGCATGTAAGAGGAAAACATCAATCATGTACACTGTAGACTAACATAAATACCACACATTTAGTTATGAGTTTTCTGATAACGAAGACAAAAATGATAAACTGAATATGCAAATCTTTCTTATTAGCTCATCAATTATTAAAGAATCTCTGAAAAACATAACATTTTTATGACATTTTGTTGAAACTAAGTAGTAATTTCAAGTTTAAGACAAAGTGTATGCCATCATCATGAAAAAAAATAACATTCTCATTTTGATTAACACATATAATCAATAGTAATTCCATTCCACCACTGCCAAACCTATCTATACTTTCCTCCTTTTTGCATTTATTCTTCCCTTTTCTTTTTTCCTTATCCTGTAAATTCACAATAACTAGGCCAAGCGTGGTGGCTCATGCCTGTAATTCCAGCACTTTGGGAGGCTGAGGCAGGTGGGTCACCTGAGGTCAAGAGTTTGAGACCAGCCTAAACAACGTAGTGAAACCCTGTTCCTACTAAAAATACAAAAATTAGCCTGGTATGGTGGCTCATGCCTGTAATCCCAGCTTCTCAGGAGGCTGAGTCAGGAAGCTTGAACCCGAGAGGTGGAGGCTGCAGTGAGCCACAATCACACCGCTCCAGCCTGGGCCACAGAGTAAGATTCCATCTCAAAAAAAAAAAAAAAATCACAATAACTATTGACATTTAAAAAATGTCATTTTCTTCATATGCACAGAATAGCCTCCCCACCCCCTTGCCAAGTGGTCAGTGGAAACCACACAGGGAGCCTAAATTCCACCCCTATTGGCAGTAATGAGGTACCCATCTCCATCTACTCTGGGGTGGTATCAAAGGAGGCCTACCTGGCATTCAGGACCTGCGTTACTGTTTCATGACAATTAGGCCACATACCCTTCTGTCATGCCATGTGGGGAGAGTAATGAAGCACTGTAGTCCTTTCCCAGCCAGGGGAGTTATCTGGTAAGGAGCCAAAATGCCTACTTCAACCTGCAGTAAGAATAAACTTCCTGCCCCTCCCCTCAAGTATCAAAGTGATGAATTTCTACTTTTATCTGGCCGTAATAAAGTGGTACCTCCCACCACCTCCCCTCATGGAGCAATGTCAAAAGGAGCCAGATAAAAGGATTAAATAAAATCTAGAGCCTCATAACACGATATGCAAGATGTCCAGGCTATACTATTTTAAAAAATCATTAATCACACCAAGAACTAGGAACATCTCAAACTGAATTAAAAAAAGACACTAGATGATCAACATTGAGTAACAAGTGTTAGGATTATCCGACAAAGATTTTTAAACAGTACCTTGTAAATACTTCAATGAGCAATTACAAGCACACTTGAAACAAACGAAAAAAATAGAAGGTCTTAGTAAAGAAATAGAAGATATCAAGACCGAAATGGAAAAAGTTTAAGAAGTGAAAAATACAATAAACAAAATAAACTCAGTGAATCACTGAATCAGAAGACAGAAAATAGAATTCTTCAATCTGAATTACAGAGAAAAACAGAATGAAAAACATTAACAGAGAATCAAGGACTTGCAGAAATACAAAAGAGCTAATATTTTGTCTCAGAGTCCAAGAAGGAGAGGAAGAAGAGGGTAGGATGGTAAAAGTACTTAAGAAATAATGGCTGAAAATTCTCCAAGTTTGGCAAAAGACATAAAGTTACAGATTCAAGAAGCTGAACAAACCCCAAACAGCATAAACCTGATGAAACCTACATCAAGATACATAATAGTCAAACATCTGAAAACTAAAGACAAGGCCAGGCACAGTGGCTCATGCCTGTAATCCCAGCACTTTGGGAAGCCAAAGCAGATGGACTGCTTGAGGTCAGAAGTTCAAGACCAGCCCGGCCAACATGGTGAAAGCCCACCTCTACTAAAAAAAAATACAAAAATCAGCTGGCCATGGTGGTGCACACCTGTAATCTCAGCTACTCGGGTGGCTGAGGCACAAAAATTGCTTGAACCCGGGAGGCAGAGGTTGCAGTGAGCCAAGGTTGTGCCACTGTATTCCAGCCTGGGCAACAGAGTGTGACTGTGTCTCAAAAAAATAAATAAGTAACAATAAATAAAATAAAAAATAAAGACAAAAATATGTTGAAAGCGGCAAGTGGAAAAACTATCTTGACTGCAGGCATAAAACTATTAGGATGACAGCAGATTTTTCTTCAGAAACTATGGAGGCCAGAAGGAAGTGACACAAAATGTTTCAAGTGCTGAAAGAAAAGAACTGTCAACCCAGAAACCTATATCTGGTGAAAACAACCTTGAGGAATAAAGGAGAAATCAAGACATTCTCAAATGAAGGAAAACTAAGAAAACATGTTACCAGCATAGTTATCTAAAATAATGGTTCAAGTTTTTAAACAGAAAGAAAATGACAAAAGTAGTAGTCCTGAAACATCAAGGAGGAAGAAAACATAGTGAGAAATATGAATAAGTACACTTCTCCTCTTGAGTTTCCTAAATTATGTTTGCCAGTTGAAGCAAAATTATAAAACCATCTATTGTGGTTCTAAATGTATGTAGACAATTAAGGTTTCTATACTTCATGCTAAATCGGTGCCATGAGGAAAAGTTTTAGCACTAAATGCATACATTAGAAAAGGAAACAGACCAGGTGTGGTGGCGCATGCCTGTAATCCCAGCACTTTCGGAGGCTGAGGTGGGAGAATTCCTTGAGTCCTGGAGTTCAACACCAGCGTGGGTCACAGGGTTTGGCTGGACTCAAGAACCCAAATCTTAACTTGAATTCCCACATGTTGTGGCAGAGACCTGGTAGGAGGTAATGGAATCATGGGAGCAAGTCTTTCCCATGCCATTCTTATGTTAGTGAATAAGTCTCACAAGATCTGATGGTTTTATCAAGAGGAAATCCCCTGCACAAGTTCTCTCTTTCTGCCTTCTGCCATCCATGTAAGATGTGACTTGCTCCTCCTTGCCTTCTGCCATGATTGTGAGGCTCCTCAGCCCTGTGGAACTCTAAGTCTATTATACCTTCTTTCTTTCTTTCTTTATACTTTTTTAAAATATTTTTTTCTACTCTTATACTCAAGTTGATTGTATGGCTAGGTACAGAATTCTAGATTGGAAGTTACATCTTTAAGAATTTTTTTTTTTTTTTTTTTAAGATGAGGTTTCACCCTCATGGCCAGGCTGGTCTTGAACTCCTGACCTCAGGTGATCCACCCACCTCGGCCTCCCAAAGTGCTAGG